CAAAATAAATCTCAGGTTGATTAGTCCCCTGTCTAGTTTCTCTGAAAGATAGTAATTTTAAACATCATGGTGGGGCAAGAATTTTTGGACGTAATTATTACACAACAGTCTAGTCTTTTTGGCGGGCATTGTGCTCTGTACAACCAGTCTGCCCACACAGCAAGCTGGAGAGTTATGACACATACAGATAAGACATGATTATGTCGTGATGGCTAAAGCTGTACCCTTCACTGAGAAGTTAAAGGTATATGAAAAGAGAATTTCCCATACCTTGTGTCTCCTAAGATGTGAAGAGGAAACCAAAGGTGAATTTTTAATATTTTTTTCTCCTATAGAAGCACAATAGAAAAATAATGAATGTGTCTCTTCCTTGTCTTTATTTCTTTATAGGAGGATGGAACGGACAGTTCGAGTTCTGTAGGGAAGAGGGACTTCCCGTGCTTCGCCATCTTCCAAGCCATTTCAGCACTGTTTCCAGACAAGGGCTCACCAGAGGAACTCAGAGAAAAGTATGATTAGACAGTAAAACACTAGAGTTTCATGTAGTCAGGGTAATAGAGGTTTGCTATAGTGTTGGATGTTTGAGTTTTGCTTCTTACTGATGATTAATTTATTTTATTTTATTTTATTTTATTTTATTTATTTATTTATTTGATATTTTATAAGGCAATGTCCTAATGATTATCGTGGATTAGTGATTATATTTTTTGCATGCAAGATGATGTCAGTCCCTGGTTCCAGGAACTGATCAAGAAGCAGGAAAAGAAAATTGGCTGTATTATTTAAATCCGAAACTGAGGATGGGGGGTCATGAGTCGGTCTACTAAAGTTTGAAAAAAATTGAAAAATAAATACATTTAAATTTGACATAATGGTATTACTTATGATTTATTTCTTTTCACCCAAGTTCACCAGGGAAATATGTATCTGATCATAAACATAGATAAGATTATTGTCAAAATAACCAAACAGTATAATATAATTTATGTGCATAAAAAAAAACAGTAGGGAGGGGTTCCTAGAAGGTTAGAAGAGTGCATTATGGAAACAAGTGTGGGAACCACTGATGTATAGGATCCATGCCTTTGTTTCTTTTTTTTGAATTAACAAATGGAAAAAAAAGAGAAAAGAAAGGCAGTTAACTATGTGTGGAATGGCTGTTTCTATTTGTCCATGACATAGAAGGAAAGTGGTGAGGTCAGTTTTTAGTAGGTTGGAAAAGAGAGTTTGGTGTTGAGATCTTTATAATCATTTTCTTAACCCAGTGCCACTGGAGTAGCACATACAGTCAGAAAGCATAGTATCATTACCCTTCACACTAATATGAAAAATCAATAAAGTGTTATGGAATAGCGAGGCAAGCCAGTTAGATTTTTTAGGTTTCGCGATACAGCAACACTATTATGCATGTGCTGGAGTTATTAGAATTAGTAAAGCGTAAGTTTCATTATCCATAATGCAAAATCGAAAATATACAAAGATATCGAGTGGTAACACATGAGCAATTGAAAGAAGAAAAAAAGAAAATAACAAAAAAAAATAAAAAGTAAAGAGCAGCGCAATTAACAGCCAAGGTATGGTGCTGACAGAGTTTACATTTTCGTTGACATTTATACTTCTCACAGTTGTTAAACTAAAGGAGAGATGGATACATGTTTTAAGTTCAAAAGAGCAGTGTTGTATAAAGACTATCTAATAATTTATTTCTATAAATGTCTACACATATTTATGTCCTATATTGGATATGTGCAGAAATAAGGGCTTAATCAAAGGAATAATTTTTTCCTGCAGTGTCTATTTTCTGTGATTTTCTGATTATCCCTCCTGGGAAATGAAAGGCAAGACAAATTCAGTTTTCATTTACATTATTAATGTATAGGAAACATTAAGATATACATATTTTTTTTATAGTGCTTACCTCCAAATGATGCTGTTTTTACATATGGAAGAATCAAAATCTGGTATTCACAATTTTGTCTTATTCTGATTTATCAGATGTCGCTGTATGACAAATGAGGGGTATGTCATCCAGTGTTATTTTCCATGTTTGTTTTTATGCAGCCCCTTCAGACGTATAGTGAAGTTAAACTTTAAGTTTAAAGTTAAAAGTTAACCCATTGGTGCCGGGTGTCACGTACGTACATGCCATGGCTGTTGTGGACCAAACGCCGGGGGCATCATGCCATGCCCATTCCCGCGCTACTGGCTCGTCGGAAGGAGGTTGTTTTTCTCCACTAGTAGCGGCTTCATTTATACGGTAGAGATTTTAGGCAATGGCACCTAAAGTGAAGGTAAACCTTCAAAATTTTAATATTTTTATAGATTATAGCAAAATAAAAACTTAGGTGCTATATGTTGCTCGCAAACTACTGATCGAGCCAGGCGCAAACAGGGGAAACTGCCAGTGCGCGCCAACAAGCCGGTGCATACGTAAAATTGACAAAATTTTTACCCGTCGCTGATGGGTTAAGTTTAAGCATGGATTTTTTTATAATGATAG